AACTCATCATAAATGAGCCTGACCGCAAGAGGCTGCTGACCAGATTTATAGGCCAACATAAGCATAAGCAGAGGCCAACAATGCCCGCAGCAACAGGCTGTGCCCCTCCCCTTCCTAACGTTGACTCTGCCTATTTGAACAGGTCTGCTAAGCAATGCTCATTTATGCACATAACGAGGCGCCATACATCAGCAAAGGGCAGCCAAGATGTGTGTTGATGTCGGTTTAGCTGGCCGGCTCGATGAGCAAATGTCCCATTGGACCCACTGGGGCAGCATTTATATTTGGCTCAAAGCGAGCAATTTGTTAACATAATTATTAAAACTCTCTCTTTATAAATCGTTCTCTCTCTCTCTCTGTCTCTCTGTCTCTCTCTGTCTCTCTCTCTCTCTCTCTCTTTCTCTCTCTCTCTCTCTCTTCCAATATCACTGTCACTCTCATATACACCCCCACACTCACCCACTCCCCATCCCTCGCTCTCTCCATCTTTCTTTCCATCAACGTTTAATTTAATTACTTTTGCCACTGGCAAATGGCGAATGGAAATAGAACCATAGAGAACAAAAAGGAAAAAAAATCAAACAAAACAAACAAAAATGAATACAAGAAAATAGAAATTTGCTCAGGCGGTTGCGACTTAGATACTAAATAACTTAAAGACCCCCGCAATGGGGGCCAGAAACTCTGGTTGGTACAGTTGCTGGGCAGCTGCTGTCATATAACTGATATGGACAGCCGCCAATAGCTGCGTGTCCAAAGTTAAATAACATGGCCTAGGGTCAGGTTGTCAGGTGCTTGTTTTTCTTGTTTTGTGCCGGGCGCTTGTTTATCTTTAGACCGAGGGCAAACACAACTAAGCCCAAACGATAACAAATAGCGGTGGCAGTCAAAAGTTGCCACAGAACTGGCCGAAACGATAAAGTAAATTATAAGATTTTGGCCAAGTTTCGCACGGATTTCATTTGCCGTGCAAATTTTCGTGGCCATCGATACGGTGGTGCACTGGTGGTGGTGGTGGACTGGGTAATTGATATCGGCCTGTGTGCGCGAGTGTTCTTAATTAAAATATTTCAAAGTCGGCGCGTGCCTTAATTTCGATTGGCCCATAAATCATGACATCAGCAGCCGCCAACAGATACAAAAGACATTGTGCATAACACACACACACACGCACACAGAGAAACACATGTGGGCCAGTGTGTCCAAATACAAGCAGCTAATAATAGCAATTACGGTGCCAAACACACAAGACCATTAAGGGCATTAGGCCTAAGCTGGCCCGGTCAAAGGTCAGCAGACAAATGCAATTGTGCCATAATTACTCGTACGCATTAGCAGTCGACCGAGTCGCTGGCAAATGGCCAAATCGGCCGATGTATTTGAGCATGGCCCACTAATTGTTTGCGATCTGGTGACCAACACAACAAGCTTCGCTCTTATCGCTGCTCAATTAAACTGCAATTATCAACAAATTAAACAAACGGAGCACCGACGATTGACATGTATGTGTGTGCGTGTGTGTGTGTCGATGGCGATGGCACAGGTTAAAGTGCGCTAGCCCAATTTTGTCATGGCGAAAACTGGCCAAAATGAAGCATTAATATTAATGAACCGCCTGCGGGGGTCGCGGCGGCGGGCGACTGCGACACACGCGACCCCAGGCAGTTCATTAAAGTGTCAAATACTCGCCGCTTACAGAAATGTCCAAAGTCAAAGCCTCCCTCCCCTCTCTCTGTATCTCTCTCTTTCTCGCTGTCTCCCTGACCATCAGCAAATGAGCGTAAAAACACAAATTTATTTAAAAGCAACAACAAACAACGAAACGCCGGCCACAAGAAACTTGACAACAAACCTGTTGCTGCTCCCATTTGCCGTCGCCCCATCTGACCCGGCCCGAGTCGGCTGTCATTATTAAAATGTCATAAATCATAAACTTGTTACTTCTTGCCAAAATATTAACATGTTTGCCTGCACTAGCGAACTAACTGCTCGAGTAACTCTATTTCAAGTGCTCGCAAATCATTTTGCAGAAGCAATGAGACTGCTTGATGGATGATTGATGATTGATGGCAACTGCAGCTGGCCGAATATTGCGCACTATTTGAGGCCTAAGCGTAAATTCCTTTGGCCGAAAACTCAAATTGTTCAAGTGCCGAAAATGGGAGGCCTCAGATGATATGCGAAATTTGACAGGTCCAAGGCAAATGAGTGGCAAATTCGTTTTGTTTTCTAATTTGGCATTTAAAGGCGAGAGCCTAAAATTATGCCAGCCTCAGGCTGCATTTAGCTGCTGAACGTCATCGTCGCCGTCATCATCAGCATAGCCACTGCCATGGCCAATGACATTGACGTGGGCTACATAAACCGTCAGCCAGCCGCCTCTCAGTTCAAGACGCCGCTGCCTGTCTGTCGTGAACGCTAAAAACAATTAGTATGACAATTTATCATAGGCCCGCAGGCAAATGAACGCACTGCCTGCCGTATACTCAATACATCAGCAACAGCACCAAAAGCAACAACAACAACAACAACAACATCGACAGTAACGCCTACCTCACCATTTTGTGCGTTTTGCGTATGGCGTATTTTTATTTGTTTTTGTGGGTGCGTCCGATGTTTGCTCATTTCCTTCCTTCCAATGCGCGGCTCGGCGCCTTTAGCGCTGCGCAATTTATAGTTAATAAACATTTCCTGAAACGAAAACTTTTGCTAGTCCTCTGCGATATGCGAATATACACATATATTATATATGTAAATTGAGCTGTAAGTCATTAAAGCGCCTCTAACTTTTAATCTACAAAACTAACGCAAATTAGGCAAGAATTTTGTTAATAATTAATGAAGAATGTGTTGCTAGATTTCGTTATTTTCAAATGCCTTGTTAACTTTTCTTGATATTTTCTTTTTATATTGAAATGCTGGCATATTGTTTCCTTATATATAATGTCGAAAACTTTAACATTTATTTTAAACATTCTTCATGCTACGTTAAATATATATTTAATGGCAATGCATACTTTTACACCTCTCTAAGGATATAATAAAAGAAATAAAGGTCATGCAAACTATTAAAGACTATTTTCATCAAACATATTGGTTGGAGCTAACGATAATAACTAACAATTACAAATCTAACTATAGATCGATAATTATTGCCCGAATACAATAAACATATATTAATAAATATGCAATCGACAATGCATTTATAATTTAAAAAATAAACAGAATCTTCAGCCTTTATTTAATGCCACGCCAATAACTATTCCATCTTATATATATTCGCAATAATTTAACAACATTTAATTAATTAAAAGCTTGCAAAAATAGCAAACACCTTATATGTACATATGGATTAATAGCTAGTCAACATGTATATTTAATAGTTACGAGCGCAACAAATGAGAAAGCTTTTGTAGAATTTGCAGAGCAGTGTTGGACAACTCATCACAAGCAAAGCTGTTAGCTTCCAGTATGAATGTTTGTGTAGACTTTCGCTGGCAGGTTTGGGTCGTAGCTGGTGGATGAAGCTGGTCGAAAGCTTAAAGCTTTCTCTCACGCATTGAACATGGGCCAAATATGCATACGCACATCATTCACATCTGAAATGTCTGGCTATTGATGTAGTATTAAAAATCCGGTTTGGCGGTTTTCCAACTTTTATTTACAAAATTAAATAGATTTGGTTTGATTAACCTTTGCTGGAGAATCGAAAAAGCCAATAATAATGATATTTAATGAGTAACAAACAAACTTTCAATGGCAAATAATAATACTGCTCGAAGATTTATCTGTTCTGTGTTAGTTTCTGTTTAACATATATAGTATATATACTAGATCGGTTTCATTTGGTTTTTTGATTTGCAATTTCATTTATGTGGGTATTTTGTGTGTATTCATAGTATCTACAACATCCAATATAACTTCACATCAATATAAGTTATTTACTCCGATGATATATATATATATATATATATATATATATATATATATATATATATGTTTATATATATATAGGTGTGTGTATATTATATTTTATACATTTATTTGTATATATAAGTTCTCTATATAGACACTGTCTTGTTGCATGTATATGTATATATGTATATATATTTGTTATTGATGTATAATATTTATGTCACTGTTGGATAATAATTACACATGTACTGCATAAATTTTGTATATACGTTTATATATATTTATATATGTTGGTATATATAATATATATATCATTCCTTTGCACTTTAGCCCATGAACTTTAACAATGTCATTTATAAATTTAGTTGCTTTACACTAAACACGTCAATCTCTGCTGTTACACATTCAATGTTCTGCACTTGTACTTTCTATTTATCATTAATATTTATATTCCTCGTTTATAAACAAACACACTCCTTTTATATATTTATCTTTGTTTTATCAAAATTATAACTCAAATCATTTGCATACTCGTTTTTATTATTTTTGGCCCCCGAAAGAAACTGAAGAAAATAACTTTGTCTGCAAGTTATATGCATACAATACATTGGAAAGTACAATTACAGATATATTTATATATACTCATAAATAATAGATAGATTATTCTTATAGAGAGATTTCACTGGAAGCGGTGTGCAGCTTGGACTGACTCCCTTTTCATTCAAGATCAACATTTTATGTTCATATTGTATAGAGAAATGAGAATAGTTTTCTTTTCATAATTTGTATATATCGTTATTAAGAGTCTAAGAGCATAGGACACAGTTACAGATAAGGTATATATGTATACACATCGTTATATATAGTACATTTACAAGACATTTCCGTTATTTAAGAAGATAGTTGTGTGTATTGTTCAATGACTCCCTCGCTCTGTTGCTCACTAATGAAATAACTAATGAAATACACGTACGCTATACCTGTTTCAAATGATTCTTTCTGCTTAACGTTGATAGATACTACGGTTTTATCTTTTGCTACGATTCAACTAGTTTGGTTTCTTTCAAAATTTGTGTTTTTTATTCTTTAAGTGAACTTTGCAGTTGACTAAAAAAAATATGTGCGCTTGAACAACTCCATTACAATTCAAATTACTGGAAACTCAAAGGAGAACGTCTCAGGGCATCAAACAGAATTTCATAAAATTGCAACCAAACTGAACTTTTAGCTCAGTTGATATTTCAATTAAAAGTTGTAGAGACTCGAATTTACAGTTCTATCAAATCAAACATTGTGTTCAATCAATCTCGTTTAAATAAAAAGAAACACAGCCTACACATTCTTGCACTTCATACTAAACTGAATGATAAAAGCCAGGTTGACTAATGGACGACGTCGCGGATGTCACGTACAGCGCTTACTTCATCTTTTTGTCTTCGTGCGCCTTCTTAACGATGGCCAGCTTCGAGTGCGGCGAGGACGGCTTCAGGGTGCGGTAAGGGGCCTCCTTCGTGCCGTGCAACACCAGCGACCACTCCACCAGATGGCCAAGTCGCGTCTGAGCTGAATTGAAGCGTGCCTGGAAAGCAAGCGAACCCAATTAATAGCAATGACCTTCAGCTATCTATAACTTCAGTTAACATACTTCCAGTTTCCATACGCCCTGTGGATACTCGCCCCAGGAGTGGGTGGTCATGAAGGGCCATTTGGTGAAGCCATCGCGATGATCATCATCGTTGGCGCGTCGCGACAGAATCATGGATCTAGCACGCGATATAGAGAATAATCTCGACCGACCTGAGATCTAGACTAACACTTACTTGGTGCCCATGGGGGAGGTGAGGAAGAGCTCCAGGTCGCCGCGTCGCGACGCATTCGCCGTGATGACTGCCTGCACGTGCTCCAAGTAGTTCACTTCCGTATCGGTGCCCTTGCACGCATCGGTTTTGATTTCCCAAAACAGCGAGCGACCCATTATGATTGGCCTACATATGAGTAGCCTTGGCTTAGCACAGACCCAAAACTCAGACAACAACAGCAACAATGTGAGTGCACTTACTGTGGCTTGTTAATCTCGCCCGCCTCGCAGTGATAGCGTGCTGGCACCGAGTGCCACTGCTTTGCCAGGGTCACCATGGCGCCCGCATCGAGCACACCGAACCCGAAGAGGTGATTGAACTCCAGCCCGACGCCGTTCATTGTCCAGTAGAATCGGTTCTTGGCATCGAAAAGGGAATTGCGTTTCGATGTCAGCACAGTCAGATGCTGTATGTCGCGCCAAGTGAGCTGAGGGCTGTTGGCCAAATGGGAATTGAGATTTGCATGAATTGATGTAAGCAACTCGACCGCACCTCCCGATACTCACTTCGCTTCCAAAGCCAATGCAAAGACGCCAGCTGCCTCAGGTGCCGCGGCGCTGGTGCCCGAGTGGGTCGTGGTGCACTTGCCGTATAGGTCGGTGGTGGCGACCCCAGTGTTTGGATCCTTGGCACCGTTGCTGAACGTCGATGCCAGCGTCGAGCTGCAGCTTTCGTCGTAGTGCGCATTCTGGCCATCGTTGATGGCGCTGTTAATGGAAATTGTCCACATGGAGGCGGCATAGCCATCGCAGTTGCAGTCATCCTCCTCGCCGCCATCGCCAGACGCCCAGACATAGATGTTGCCCAAGCCATTTCGGCCCTGCAGGGTGGCCAGAAATTAACGGTGCTTAAGATTTCGAGCTGCGAGCTGCGTATATCGTATAGCATTACCTCATTCACACCCTGGACAATGGCGCGCATGGTGGCATTGCGCGGCCCATCCACCGTCTTGCCATCATCTGTGGGACCCCAGGAGGCACTGTATATGTGGATTTTGTGCGGCTCGTGTCCCATTGAGTTGGCTTCGATTAGGTCCGTCATATAGGGCTGGTCCAGCATGCGTATGCCTGCAGAGTGTCCATTAATCTTAATGCTCGCAATTATAAATCAGCATTTATGGTCATCTATATAAATGCCACCCAACTGTTGCCAGCCCCCGCTATTTATTCTTTTTCACTTTCACTTGACGCTTTATGGCAATCGTAAAAAAAAAAAACAGCACGCAATGTGTGTGCGATTATCAAATATTCCCGATTTTTCACATGATTTTTCCCACTTGTGCTATAAAAACGACAGATAAGATTCGAGCCGATTTATGTGCCCACTTGTGGTGCTCTGCTCTCCCGAGTCTCATACTTGGCTTCAGTTAGATATAGAATACATATATAAACATTTGTCATCATTGCAGAATGCAGTGGAATATTCGTCACACAGCGCGTATACGTGATGCAATACTTTAACACTTGACTTGAATAATTTGCTTGACTTGGATTGGCAAAGTCATGACTGCTCCTCGTCACCCGCCCATTCTCCTTATTTACTACGTGGCAAATCCACTTACCTGCGATTTTGCTGTCATAAGCAACACCCACGCCGCAAATTCCATTATCTCTGGCAGCAGCCACTTCGCCAGCACACCGAGTGCCATGGCTGCAGAAATGAAGGATAGAATAAAAGAGAGTGTGAGAGAGAGAGAGAGAGCGTGAGGACCTTAAGGGTGACCATTTCATAACTATATTTGTGAAATACGTGGCATTTGCCTGCGCATCTTTTTCGGACGCTTACAATCGCGCATTGTGAAATGAATGCGATAAGCACCAAGCAGCTAAAACAAATACGACCCTTCGTGAGGAGCCTTCAAATACCGGAAAGCCAGATGAATAACGAAATGCGCAGTAGGAAATCATAACAAAGCAGGCAATTAACGGAAACCTTGCAAATTGCTTTTTTTACTTCGGCTCCAAAGGAAAAGCGAAAACAAACTTAAAACACGAAAAAACTGAAAGAGCAAAACTTTGCGAATTGTTTCGCATTTCGTTCTTTGGCACAGCTGCTTACTTTACACAATTGAAATTCCAAATGCCAAGGCAGTAACTCAAAGTACTTTCCCATCGGCTCTTACTGCCGGGCTATTAAGCCGGTGCTTATGCTTATGAGCATAAGCCCCCAAAGGCGCTTAGGCTCTGCCGCGACTTACCTGTTAAACCAGTCGTCGGTATACCGCGGATAGGGGAATGCATCATTGCTGCTAAAGTCGTAGCTCGCCTCGGCGTTCTGCAAGTGAGAGTACAGCGGATAAAGTGGGTGAGCAAGTGGGTGAACAAATGGCTGCCTGGTGCTCCACACGTAGAGCCATTAATAGAGAGAGATACGCAGTGGTTGCGTCAAATAGTCGGCATGGCGTCAGGTTTAAGTGCATTTTGGTGTCTCATCACGCATAATCTGCCGACTAAAGCCGCCCATTAATGCTAATAACAATTTGCAGTAATATTTGCAGAGCACTTCAATCATGCACATGCCAAGCGAGGGTAGTTCCAAAAGTATACGTAATACACATGGGCGCAAATGTAAAATGGGTTTATATTTTAATAATGACAAATAAGTTAAAGTATAGTCAAAAAAAAAAAAAAATTTCATGTTTGCTCTCTCTTATATTTGCTGAACATGTACGATAGTGCTTTATCTCTCTGTCTGCCCACTTGTTTTGCGCTTAGATAATATATATATTATCTAATAAAGTGCACATTCATTTCTCTTTTTTTTCAAATCCCAACTCATTGATGTAAATAATGTAAACAGAACTACTTTTTTATATATTTTTTTTACCCTCTTTTTGTTCCATTAAATTCTGAGACCCGTTCTGCTTTAATTATACCCAGTGCGGTTAGCATGGCTCCAACAATTGCTGTATGCGCCAGATAGTTGAGACAACACTATCGGGTTTTAATCTGATAGCATTATGCCGAGCAACGAGAGCAATGGGCGGACCAACAGACGGTAAGGGATTGGCTCTTTCCGTGCAGTGACGTAAGCAAGGGACAAAGGCTTGCACAATTAATTATTGGCTACTTTGCTGAGTGCTGTGGGAGGCAGATTTTAGGACAGGCGTTGTATTTAGAGGCTATTAGAACGAGCTAAGCCTTTATTGCAGAGCAACGACAGCAAAAGTGAATTCATTATCAAAATGAAGCTATGTAGCTAGCACAGCTAAGGATAAATTAATTGATTAATTAAAATATATTAAATTATTTGATACTGACAAAATATGTTTTAAATATGTTTAATCAATTAAGCTTTCAATTCTTCCATGATATATTCCTCTAATTTTGGCATTAAATTAGATTGATGAAATAAATTTACAACAACATATTAACAAGATTTAAAACAATAAAAAAATACAATCTAAATAAGTCATCAATATGCAAATGGGAAATTTCGAAATGCCACATGAAATTCATATTATAGTATTTTAATTAAATTCAGAAATGCTAAACTAACACATTAACATTAAATTAAAATAACTGCTGGATTAACACATTTGCAATATTACAGCTTTAATAAGAAAATCAAAAACCAAAACCTGTATTATAGATAGGTCATCAATATGCAAATGGGAAATTACGAAATGCGGCAACTGATTATGTTATTTAAATTGCTTCGGCGCGTATAAATAGTAAAGCATTTTCATTTAGAATCAAACTTTGAATATAAATAAAAAAGCAATCAAAAAGTTCGCATCTTGATTTGAATTGCATCTGTGGATCAACTCGATTCGATGAGGCTGTGTGCAGTTGAATAAACGTCAATCGTTGCGTTCATTTGACCATAGCACTGTGCAAATATAATTTTGAAAGCCATCAACTCACACACACACACCCACACACACACACACACATACACACGCACAGCAATGTATTTGGCGCTGCTGGCTTTTGAGTTTGTTATTTACGACGACTCGCAATTACTTACATAATTGAATTTCAGATCCGGATGCATGTAGTCCACGCCTGCACAGAGGATAAAAATAAAACAATTTGGAATCATATCGACACAGCTTCTTCATGCATGAAACTTACCGTCATCCATGATGGCCGTGGTCACGTTCTTGCCCGTAATGCCCTGAGCCCAGGCAGCCTGTACATTCAGATCCAATCGCACTTTGCCGCCGTTCTGTCCGGTGTTTTTCAGATACCATTGCAGGGGAAAGTACGGATCCGTCGGCTCCACATCAACGGTATTCGGTTCGCCCAGCGTAGCTGCGTAGTGCAGTCCATGAATCGCAGGTATTGCCGGTCGCAGACCACGCTTCTCGCGTCTAAAGCCCGGCTGTTGAACAGCCGTGAGCACCTGACGAAAGATTTCAAAGGGAATGTATCAATATCGAAATGCCTGCTATCAACGGCTGCATAAGCCCCTAGCACATGGACACATTCACGGGTCGGCGTTGTGTACGTGTCCGTCAGTAATTCGGGTTCCGGCTGGGCTGGGCTGACAGCAAACTAAACAAATATAAGGAATCTGCATAATTCTCGTTTTCATGTGGCATTTTGATGCATGCCTGCCTGCCTGCCTGTTGCATTTTGAATAGTAATTATCGAGAGTGGCCCACTGTCACGTAGCGGCCAGCTAGATCCACTGCAATGCAATCAACGTGATTGTGGTTGAGGTGGTGCAACTTGGACTTGGCCGAGAACGCAATTTGCCAACTGATTGCCAACTTGCCAGCGGAAGCACTGAAGCGGCAAACTGAACTCTGACATTTATGCAATGAGGTGGGTGCCAGGCACATGGCTTCAGCTGCAGCTACAGCAGCAGCTACAGCTACAGCTGTCAATAGTCTTTAAGTTTACAGTTATACTCACCGAGGGATGACTCTTGAGGACACGCGTGTGCATCAGGCTGCGCCGCGAGCGAGCGTGCGGCAATGTCTTGTGTTTGAAGTGATACTCGTGTCCATCAGCGCCGACCAGCTGCAACATTAGAGAGGAATATTATTTCATTAGTGGATGCGTGCCAGACTCCAACTCTAATTGAGCTTAACAACACATTAATTCCTTTCTTGTTCTACGTCAGCCATAATTGAGCCATAATTGACTTCAGTTGGCCAATCCCCAGCCGCCGACATCTCTATATGTAGGTGCACGCACATACATAGAGCTGGCAGCACGAGAGCCCATTATTGCGTTTTAAATTGCTAGTCATGGGCATCATCTTCACAGCCCCATCATCAGCATTAACAACAACATCATTAGCTTTATTACGTATATTAGCCCTCGTCCTTGGCCGAGCTTTAGTAAATTGAGAGTTTACAGCGTTCCCTTCCTACCTCCCTATACAGCCTCCCTGCTAGGCTTCCTTTGCCTTGGCTTGCCTTGGCTGGCAGGCTGCTCTAGTTCCAGCAGTTATTTTCCATTTTCCCTCAATGTAATTCCAATAAAGAGCATATCGAGTTACGCACATTACTCACATGTTCCCAAGTCCCCAATGCGAGCCGAGTCAGCCCCAAAATTGTTTTCTTTGCTGAATAACAACGCCCAGATGAACCGACATTTTACACGCATCAATGTAATAAAAGCCTACAATTCTCTCGAATAAAGTTTCATACAAAAATATCTTCAGAAGCAAGTTTATTATGAGCTTGCAAAGGACTAGAAAATTCGGGGAATTCATTTTCTTCAGAAATATTATAACGAACAAGCTGAAAAAAAAGTTTTGAAAACAGTTTAATTTAAAATATTCATATTCTCACAGAATTGAATTCAAGAATATATGGAAATGAAATAATAGTATATACATATATCTATGCCAATAATAATAATGAGTCCATTGCAGTGTCAAAATATGATAGACAACGTCACAAAAGTCACGTCCCTGGGCGATGCCACGCCACGCAGTTGCTCGTGCTTCAGCCCTGAGCCACGCAGCTCGAGAGTAAAAGTTTTCCTGTTTAGACTTTTCGACTGTTTTATAAGTTTCTCACAACTTGGCCAGCTGCTGGGAAGCTCGTGTCCGTGCGATTCCGTTACTCCCACAGATTGCCAATAATTAACTGCCGCCTGAGGGGCGCAGCCTCGCTTCCTTGGGCCTGATAAACGGCTTAACTAATGCGCGGACGAATAATTACTTTGGTAGTCAACAGCTGTTGCGACTGCCCACGCGTATATTTTTTATTTTTACACATAATACGCTTAGAATGCACAGCTTTATCTCAAAGATGTAGCTGGGCCATCTAAAGATGGCCTTGTCCCTTTGTAAGGAGCAAAGTTTGAAACACTCGCCGTGCAGCCTGAGCAGCTGTCAGCGTGTGTGCAACGTGGGCCTAGGCTGGGCTCTGTCTCAAAATATCCTGCGGCCTTACAAAAGGCTTGTGGTTGACGAAGGATATCATTCTGTTGACGTCTCTCAGCCCACTCGGCAGAAGCCGCACAAATGTTTATAAATACACTCCACCCAGATTTCTATTGAACTGAACTAAAATAAAATTGAATTAAAGACAATAAGCGTAATGCAAATCACCCGCTGTCAACAATGAAAATGCCCAGGCCGTGTCCCGCTGTGAGCGTAAGGAAGAAACATGATATTGTGATAAAAATATATCTGCGTTGAATTAAGCCTCAATGTGTATGTAATCAAAGCAGAGAAAATCGCTTGAAGGCTTAATCTACAGTAAATTCCAAAAATATTCAGATAAACGTCATTAAAATCGATTTGTTTTTATTTTTAATTTTTAATTTAAAGACTAAGATTGGCGTGAATTCAAATTTATATTTACCAGAAACTAAACGGCTTTGGCAATCAATTTTAATGGGCTACTTGAAATGTTTATTTCGTTTGTAGGCGATGAATTTTTCGAAAGTCACGTTACCAACAGAGCTGCTATCAGGGTATGTACGAGACAAGAAGAAGCCGGAAAGCGCTTTAAGTTTTTTTTTTTTTTGCGAAGAAGAGAACTGAGCCAACTGTGCGCCGTCAATTCGATGAGGTTCATCATCATTGGGAACCACGGGGCGGATCGAGGGTTGAAGGCTGATGATTATGAGGGCTTGTCTATTTTTATGCCCTGATAATTTGTGCGCTAAGTACGCAGGATACTGTAACAGCTGGCCAGCTGTTAACTGTTGCCCGCTTGCCATTGAAATTAACTGGCGGCGAGCTGTTGGCCAGGGACATCGATAGATAATAATGAGAGCAGTGCGCATGGGGCGCCCGATGTGCGGACCCATGGAAATTAATAAGGCCAGCTCCCTAATCCCAGCAGCCATTCGCGGCTAAATTGAGCGCATATTTTTAGAAAGTCTGTATAATTTTTGCATTACTCCTAATATATGAAGCATATGGCAGCGACAGAATGGAAAAGCAAAATAACAAAATATAATAAACCAAATAAATAAACTTGATGCCTGAGCTTTGAGTGGATTGAGCAAAACAAAAATAGCCACACACAACGCACAGCACACAAAGCTAGCTCTCAGTGTTGTCATTGTCTCTATGGAGCAGTGTGTGCGTATGCGCTTGTGTGTGTGTACATGTAGTACACAACGTATTAGAAAAATAATGTGTCACAGCGGGTGATAACGCGGACAGCAGCCAAGCAGCCAAGCAGCTGAGCAGCCGAGCAGACAGCAGAACAGGCCAAAGCAAAGTCAGGCTGGGCGGGCAGACACTTCATGTGACTTGTGGCATGTGGCACCTCCTTGCCCGCTATCGACCCCAGGGCAAAGCGCCGTGTGAGATACTTAAGCCGAAACAACACCCACGCGCATTTAGCAACATTTGACAAACTGGCAGCACCACGAGTGGGTGATTATTTTCATTTCAAGTAAACGCGTCGATTGCCAAAATGGCGTCGGTAATAGCTTATGTTAATCGTAGATAGCAGTTCATAGCGAAAATGTGAGTGGAAGACATATGATTATTCGCGCCACTTGTTGCACTGTGGTTATTTGAATATGCCACTAGCACGGGCAGGACAAAGGCTGAAGCGAGCCACAGAAGCGGAAGACAGCCGCAGTGTGGGCGGCGACAGCAGCGCTCTGATATGTATGTGGACGTGGCGTGTGGCATGTGGCATGTGGCATCTAGCACATCATCCTTCAAACAATGTCAGCGTCACAAATTTATGGATTTTAGCTCAGCGCGGCAAGTAAATGCACTGACGAGAGAGCTGAAAACAACAGAATGTTCACAAACAACAAACAACAACGACAACAACAACAACAGCAATAAGCAACAGCTGCATTCTTGTTGAATGCACACAGGGCCGCAGACACCCACACACATGTTTGCATGCATTCGTGTATGCATACATCCCGTTTTGTTGTATGTTTTTGATTGCCCTGCGGGCAGTCAGGCCTGGGAGGTGGTAGTCCTTTGGTAAGCTGCGGGCTTAAACCACGCAGCAACGAAGGCTTAAAGTCGACAACATTATGCAAGGGCTTTGGTATGTGCATCTGGGCTGATAGAACAGTTCATTAGTTTTCACAGTTTTCACAGTGCGAGCATTGAAATGTGTTTTCCAGCCAATTCCAATTTACATTCTATTGTGAGTGGAACAAAGAAACTAATATTTGCCACAAATAGATTTTACATTTCGATTTCCACTTAAATGTTCGCATTCAACAATTTCAGCTGAAAAGTAGGCAACACATTTCCTTGATAGCTCGTCTTGAGTGCAATCATTCGTTCATTTTCAGTGCACATTAGGCTTAAGCCCCTTCTCAAGCTATCTAAGTGTGACAACTAAAGTGAAATCCATTTGTCAAATTTATGCCGCTGGCTCAACTGTGTGACAGGCTCTTCTACTGCCATCGTCAGCCATCCCTTATCGGTTCGTGTCGCTTTATCAGTAGCCAACTATATTTCTGGTAGCACTTGAGCAAATGACTACTGCCATGCACATAATAAGTGTGGTATTGATGCACACATCATCACACATATTTGTATACACAATCGATAGATAGGCACGAGTTCCATGTAAACTGATAATTGTGCTTCGTATAGCAACTATCGAGCGACTGAACGTATATAATTTCGATCTATGTATGTATCTATGTATCCATGTATCTATGTGTCCATGTATCTATGTATCTATGTAACAATGTTTCTATATATCTATGTATCTATGTATCTATGTATCTATGTATATATGTATCTATGTATCTGTGTATCCATGTATCTATGTATCTATGTATATATGTATCTATGTATCTATGTATCTATGTATCTATGTATCTATGTATCTATGTATCTATGTAT